GAGAGAGAGAGAGAAGAGGAAACGACCGGGGCGTAAGAAGGAGCAAAGTTCGCGATAAAGATTTTTACGATATTTCAAGAGGACACCTATTAGAGAACATCTTTGAGTGGCATTGGACGCTTGTCCTCTCGATCTACCAGTGATTCGGACCTCTAACTCCCTCGTCTCGGAGGATGCATCCCTCGGTGGCACGAGCGATCGTTACGGTCGATTGCTCTCGACTGAAACTTTCGAACTATCGGAAGTAATTCGTGTCAAGTTCGCGTAATAATTGTCCATGTACGCGATATAAAAATTAATTAATCCTCGGATTGAAGCCGTACAGGGAAATTCTCTTCCGTTAATTGCAATAAAAGTATTATCGGTGATTATATAAATTATCAATGTGCGGAAAATGTTATAATAAATATTAATCGAATGAATCTCCTTCACGTATTCCAACTTTCTCGGTTTCCGAAGAATCAGGAGAATGATAACATTGAAATATCTCCGTCTGGTTTTAATTATTAGATTTCCACTTTTCGTTTAATATTAAAATTTTCTCTCAAAATCAATTACATTTAATATGTCATATTTCGTATAAAAGGCTTCATAAATTTCGACGAAAAAAAAATTTTGCTTCTAATTTCTACTAGACAATTTGAATCGTATTTTATTAACGAAACCTCGGTTAAGAATAAATATCCCTGTGACGGTAGATATTACAAAATTTTTCTGACGCGCTCTCTCGCGTTGCAAATAGAGGGTCGAAAATGATTTTGGAAAAACGCGGGAGTTCAAAAATGCGATTTTCGAGAAGCACGAAGTGCATTCCTATGTCGATAACGATCCCCGGCTGGTGATACAAAAGGCGGACATGTGCAGGCATGAATCATTATTTAATAACGCGGCGTGAACGCCGAATATCGCGAGATGGAGCGTTCGACGGGCCAATAGGCCGTAAAAAAATCGGGGATTCTGGCGCGCCGTTGTACGGCAACGGCGAATCGCGTTTCACCGCGATGCAGCCGGCGTCGATTATCGACAACCGACGATAATAAATCGCTGCCGGGTGCTTTTCCGTCCCACGACGTGCAGTACGATGCAAGACACGCTGGCCGAGCGCGTATCATCAATTATTTCCTGCCGGACGCGTATAAATGCGCGCGCCACGCGCATATCCGCACGTATTATTCGCGTACGTTGCGTGTCGAGAAGTCGATGAATGCAATTGAGTGGATTTGATCCCGAAACGAGAGCGACAGGGAAAGAAAAGAATCCGGTCGATCAACAATCGGAACAATCGGAAACCCGAAATAAGGATCGAGAAGGACGACAGTGAGAAATTAATACGCTTCGTTGCTGCTGCACTTTCGATCGCGAAGTCATTTGGTTCACACAAACAGTCGATTGCCAACAAAAAAAAATAAAAGTGCCGACTAACGAGAGCATCAATAGCCGATCGAAGCGACCGATTAGTTTTGCAAACGTCCCGAGATTTCCGTGGGATTTGTCTGCATTTTTCACAGTTGCGCCCTCGAAGAATTCGTAGGTTAATTGAATCGTTCGGGAAACAAAACGTCGAAATTATAAAAAAGTAAAAAGAAAAGAGTTGTACTAATCGTTTAATAATTGTAATAATTATGACATCGGAAAATATTTATATTTTTCGTATGTACTCGACTGCAATTGTATATTTATCGCCTGTTCAACACTTTCGTAATTTACATACTGTCATTATTTTATAATTAAGTACATCATTGTATATAGTTGAGTAAAAAGCAATTATTATCAATAAGTAATTATTGATAAGAGATACAAAAAAGCAAATAATCGATTTCTTTAAAATAATAAAATAAAATTGATTATTACTGATTCACGCGCTATTTGTTATCGAATAATGAATAATTTTGTTTTAATTTTAATTTAAATCCCGACCTAAATGGGAATTCTAAAAAGTCAATGCATAATGGTAGTTTTCCTATTATGTTATAATATCACTGGCACAATTAACTGCCCGCTAATGGTTTATGATAATTATAGCAATTTGCAAGGCGTCATATTCAATAATGTATTATTTCATCATAGGATTAACAAATCGACATTAATGAATACTAATATTATTGCATTTAAATTTAGAAAAATATATATTATATAAAGATTTAATAAAGAATATTTTCAAATCTTTAAAATACTGTATTTATTCTAATTATTCTAATTATCAAATCATGTGTTTCAAACACTTCAAATTATTTGGATATTATGCAGTGATATTAACGATAATTGTGATCATTCTGTTGCCCTCCCAAAATTAAATTAAATATGTGTTTAGTAATGTAATTAATTTTGATTACCTGTGTGGTTACAAAATGGTCAATCTCGCATAACCGCATATCACTAGGAAAGAGTATACAGAGTTTCCTGGAATATTGTGACTTAAAGAGAGATTTAAGAAAAAAAAAAACGGTGCAAAAAAATAAATAAAATTCATCGCGAATACGCGCCGGTGCTGAAATTTTAATCGCGGATCACGGAATTCGGCGGCGATATTGCTATTCGTCACGAAAGCAACGTGAGCAACGCTATCTTCGACGCAGTTTCGCGGGGTATAAAGGATGCGACCGTAAATCTCGGCGGGAGCTCATTTCGCTGGCGCAACACAATAGTTCGGCAATGCCGTTGGCCAGAAGTGTGCTCAAAAGGGTACCCGGGAGTACAGCCATTTTATTGTGATACGATTTACGATTGCTCGGACCGGCTGCTGAGCTTTCCGCGTCCCGCTGTACGAATCTTTGGAATTCACTTACGTGGCCCCGTACGGACGAGGGATCCGCACCCACGAGTCTCTTCGTCACAAAACTTCCAACTTTGCCTCTCTTACCTGCAATAAGAAAAATAAAAACGTTATAAGCGTGAGTAAGCAGAAATAGAACTGTGGAGTCGATAATAAAATGAAAAGCAGTGATGTATTATTAAAAGCAGCAATTTAATAATAACCTTCACTCGTTTCTCTCTCAATGGATAAACAGAACAGACTTAAAACTTGTCTTCAAACGCTGATTCAATACAATATTAATTCGATTAATTTAATTCATCAATCGAATAACTTAAATTTTCAATTAAAATTCATTATCAAGAATTCTAACAATAACGTGTGTAACGTGTTTTCCTTTGCAGCTGTAATTATAATGTAAATTATAGCCGAATATTCGTGAATATATATATATATTCTTCGACGATTACGTTCTATACTGAACACGAGAAGCGCTAATTTGCTGGTTCAAAAGTACTTGCTTACGTAATGCTTCCCAGAATCCCTATAATTATACTAAGAACCTTTGGCGAATACTCGTACGGCCGTCGCCCATATTTCTTCTCGACGGCGGCATTTCGTACCGTTGCTACGGTCGTCGGTTACGAGTACTTTTTTTCTTCACCGATCTCGGCAACGATGGCACGCAACGAAAATGTCTACGTAATTACGCAATACGAGGAAGACAGAGTGCGAGAGAAATAGGGTAAGGTACAGTTAAAGCAAAGCAAAATTTACAGCACATTCTAAATTTTCAGCAAGTTCTCTTGAGAACGTTGCATATAATGTTTATATATATGGTAATAGAAAAAAGAGAATAAAACAAAAAATAAAATTAAAAAACTAACAAACAAAATAGAAGACAATTAAATAAATATAAATTAATATTTCAATAATTCAAAAAAGTAAGAGACACGTGCAGAAAGCTATTTGTGATAAAATCGATATATTGAAATTAGGAAAATCAATGTTACATATAAAATTAAAGAGAAAATAAAACATTAAGCGGTATAAATTCTTGGTAAGATAAATATAACTTTGATGGATTTATGACGATCTATTCTGCTCTGAAATAATTAAACATATACTACAGAAAGAGAGCGAGAAAGAGGAGAGAGTGGAGTTACGAGGGTTGCAATTAACTCGAAACCTCGCTCACGTTCCTGGCGATTCAGCAGTTAATCACCCAGGAAGTTATTCGGCGTTGAGGGTCTATGTCACATCCATCCTCAACCACCTCCCACGTATCACCATGCTGGCGGACCGTTCCGTCGTCTCTTCCTCCCTCCCGCACTCCCACTGATGGCGCTTCATTAGGATAGCATTCATAAACATCCACGTGACGCACCGACAATCGTTACTGATAATCATCGGGCCGCGCACGCGATCAATTAAAATACTATTTTCCCCTTTTGCGCTCCCCTCTTTCCTCTGTCCTCCGCACATTTTTTACATTTCCTGGATTGTCGCCTTTCTATTCCGTCGACGCTTTGATGATTTTTATCACAATGTAATTTGATATTTGAAATTTGCAAGTTTTTTCTCATCTTTGAGAATTACCTATCTAACGAAAAAAAAAAAAAAAACAATTTTAAAAATCCGGAAAATTCACAGCTCGAGATACGGGCAAATACACGTTGTAGATTCGCACTTTAACATTTTTATCGATACGAGAGCACAGTAATATCATAGAATGGCGTTAGCTAATAGCGGACGATAGCGCCCGTTTTCATTGTAAGCGAAAGATTTATTGTGACGGCCGGCGGCGAATTATCACCTTGCAACACGAAAGTGTGGATAATCGCGTCCGACGCTGATGGAAACCTGTTCGCAGCCTTTACTTGCTCGACGATCATCCGATACGCGTTGCATCACGGAATTGCGAGGAACCCCATAATTGCAGCTTTTACAGAGAATTTTCAGCGTGATCGAACCCTTTTCAGTATATTGAGATGTAACGTCATTTGTTCTAGCATGTAACAGTTGATCAACGGTCTCTCAATATGAATTTACTTGACAGTGGCTAAGTACCAGGTATTGCAATATAATATAAAACATCAGACAAAATAACATCCATTATAATTTCATCAATCTGTCAAAATATCTGTTAAAAACCTGTCAAAAAATGTAGCTAACAAAATAAAAATAAAAAAATTTTTAATCAAATCATTTTTCGTAAATATAATAATAATCACGCCAAAAATAACAGAAATTATATTTTCCGGTTTATTCTTCTGTTGTTAAAAAGTGGACTATAAACACAATTAAATTTAATTAAGACAAAACTTCATATGGATATTTGGAAAAAATTACTTACACGGAAGATAATGAAGTATCAATGAACTCGATTCTTGAGTTCGTTGATTTTTTGAGAGGCAGCATTCTGCGCGATTGCAAATGCCGCATATATCTCGAAAGTTATCGAAACTTTCAATTTGTCATGTAGTGCGAAAATCTTTTCCGCAAAAAGCGAAACCCACCGTACGAAACTCCTCGGAAAAAGCTCTTCAAGCCCACCGCGACTTGGCAATTTCATGGCGACGGACGGGCCGCTTCGCTCGCTGCGGCTCGCGTGATCGCGCCGTAGCGAGAGCACCGTTTCGTGAGCGCTAATGGATTAAGGCGGAAAACGCAGTTAAGCCGAAACCAATCCCTTATCTTTCATCTCGTAAGTGTACGGCGGACGAGATGGAACTATAGATCCTTTGTAAAACATCCTCGGACTTGCGCTCCTTCTTCCTTCCTCCCGGTACTTCTCTTTTTTTTTTCTTCTCGCCGCGTGTTGCACCGCGCCGCATCGGTGCATTCGTGCCCGGACGATTTTGCCCGCGGACAAAATTGCAGTTTGCGCTTTCGATGCTACGAGCCGCGTCTTTTCCGCGATATTGCACCGCAACACGCACGTGTTCATGAGCACGTATGTCCGTACAAACGATCGCACAAGCCGATATCGGGAGCTAAGCTACGATCTCGGCGGAGATTGCCTTCAGAGACAAAATGTGCCGGAGAAATACAATATTAATTATAACATAAAAGACTGTAATAGATTGTAGAAACTCTTTTTTTATACAGTTAATACAGTTTAAGAAAATAAAATCTACCAAATTTAAAACCATACACGAATCATAGTCTTTGCAAACAACAAGTTGAGAATTAATTTTGCTTCATACAGTTACAAGATATTCTTAAACTACATTCGATCTTTTATCTTTTGTTTTATGATCATAATACAGTTGTAGTAATCTACAAAATATTTTAATATACCTTGCTATTCTGTTATTTAAAAATATCCCGACGAGAATCGTCGACGGGAATAAAAATGAAGAACTCTCGCGAGGCTGCCTAATGATCGCAAGTAAGAAATTAATGATTCATCGCTTCGACGTTTCGCGAGTCTTCTCCTCGTGCTTTGGTCGAAGCCATTGAAAACCCGTCTTTGATGTCGCGGCGACGACGGAGACGACGGCGACGACGATGTCGCGACTACGGCGACGTAAGCTACGCGGATCGATGACGACCGAGACGTCCCGAGTTTAACGACTCACAATGACGAAAGTAATCGCGTTATTTCCGCTTCGTTAAAGGCACACACTCTCTCTCCGGTAACCGTTATGTATTCGTGTGTACGCGACAATAAAGCCGCGCAATCTGTAAAGCGAAAGTTTATGCGCGAGGCGATGCTTTCTCGATGGCTTTCATTTTTCCGGAAAACGCTCCGATATTACGCTTCATTCTTAAAAGCGTAGCGTTGCACAACAACGAGATTGATTCCTATTATCTTCTTATCATTTTCTTGCGTTATGTAAACGTAAGCTTCGCAAGCAGTGTGTTTATGCAAGCGTGATTGATACATTTTATGCAACAGTCAGCGACGACAGTCTCTCTCTCTCTCTC